GAATGCATCTGACTGAGCAGGTTAAAAGATGGGATAAACTGAAAGCAATTCTGGTTGCAATCCTAAAACTACTTTCCTTTGAGTAAATCCCATTGAACAAAGTTAGACTTCTGAGTAGCCCTGTTTAGGAATGCAGTTTTTGTGCTTTACAATATTAGTCAGTCAACTTAATGACCTGGCCATCAAATGCCACCCCTTCTCTAATGAATGAGATCATTTCTAACTAGTCTAAAACAACCACAAGTTTCAATGCCTGGTCCTGTAGTACAAGACACTACTATGTATCTGCCGAGTTACTCAGCACAGTGTTATGCTCAAGCTGAACTTTGCCGGTAGTTCACTTGGCACATAACTGGAAGTTCAAACAAGGTAACCTCACCTGACAATTGTGTGCTCTTGACACTACTATGTATCTGCCGAGTTACTCAGTGCTCTTCCAGGTCTCAGCCTGCCTAGCCAGAAATATCTGTGATAAGATGTCACTTCACCCATAGGGATTTTGGTAAAAATTACAACTTTGGACAGTAAATGTTTACATTGCACTCTATAAACTCCCATCAATCAACCTCAAGCAAACTTCATGGGCAGGCAAAGGTTACAGATCAAGTTTTGCCAGCTGGCTGTCTGCCAAGATGAGAAGGGTGTTCCTTCAGGTGAAGAAGTGTAGTTGACCAGACTAATGAGTTGCTTCCTATGACTTCAAGACTCATAACTAGTGAGCTTTCTTAAAGATACACTTGTACCTTTCCATCATGTAGGATTGGAAAGTTTAAATAGGGAATTTTGTTCTTTGTTGGAAGAAAAAAAATGGGAAATGGCTAGGAATGGACTTAGCTTTGGAATGGGAAAGCTTCAGAAACAGGAGACACATAAATGAAATAGCTCAGGAATGGCTGAAAGAGAGAGACCATTGCATGAAACAGAAATGTGATCATTCAGAGGCTACGGTCACATGAGCAGTTTGCACCAATATCCTTGTGGTACCTTTGCAGATTTAAGGAGCATGGTCAAACAGCAACACCTGCCTTCTGCACCCCAGTCATTGCCACCCTGTTCTGCCCCGCTTTGGAAGTGAAGTAATTTGGCACTGGGGAAAGTCCAGTGTTTACAGATTATCAGTGCTTTCACCCTGCATTTCTGGATGTCTGAACTCCCCTGATGTGAGCTTAACCCAGTGATCTCTCGGTTCCATTTTCACTCCTTTTTTTTTTAGTCAGTTAGCGATGTGCACATAACCACATCTTTGTGCATGCCAGCAAGCTTTCAGCTGTCCTCTAAGGTGAGAAGGAGGGGGGGGAGAAGGGCAGGCTGAGAAGCCTCCTTTGTCTTTTCTCATGCTGGTTCCTCTGCCTTTAGCTTTGCAGCACACAGGGTGGGGAAGGGGTTAATTTAAAATAGTTTTTTCAAAGGGGGAGGCAGCCTCCTCTAGCTGTCAAAGCAGAGTGGTGCTTCAAATAAGCAGTTATGCATATATATACAAAAGAGATTTTTTTAAAAAAGCCACCCAACCACCCACTCCATGGTTGCTCAACAAAAATAACAGTCGACCATGGGGCAAACATTCAAGGAAGCCAGTTAAAACTCTCAGTAACAAACTGCAATGGAGTACTTAGAGCTGGGGCCAGACTGTGCCAACCCTGCAGTCTGACCACAGCAAGAGGTTACTTAGGCCTACTTCTTAATGCAGCATTATAGAAGAGTAAGTTTCAGTCATAGGGTGAGAAGATTAGGTTTGTTGCTCATTTTATTTTCCCTTTGCTCAGTGGGTGTTGGAAAAGTTTTGTTCATCTATAGTTTTGTTCATCTATATATTTTTCCTTTTTATTAAATTGGCATTATGTTGGTATGTCTACACCTATACACCTATACAAAAGCTTAAATTATATCAAGTGTATCAAGGTACAAAGAGAAGGCAGGGAGACTCTTGTCTGAATATGAATTATGTTGTGATCCCCCTAGTGCTCCCTGACTCAGTTAAAAGAGCAAGGGGTTATACTGGATCCAGTGCTATTAAAGGAAAAACAAGATAAAGTAGCTGTAGAAAAGGCATTCTACCATCTTCTTTTAGCCTGCCTTGACTCTGCAGATCTGGCTATGTGGATCTATACTAAAATAATGTCATCTATATGGGTCTGTTGTTAAAGACAAAGGCAAGCCACCGTGAATGATGGGAGAAGGCAGGATATAAATATTTAAATAAATAAATAAAAACACAGAAACTCAAGTTAAGTGCAGAATGCCACCACCCAGTTGCCAGGCAGAGCATGCATGTCATAAAGTTCTGCACACACTTCACTGGTTACCAATCAGTTACTGAGTTCAATTCAAGATTCCAGTTATCTTCTACAAAGCCCCAAATGGCCTTGGATCCACACACCCACAGAACTGCCTCTCTCACTATGATCCCGTGCAAAGGCTTTGCTCATTTGAGCAAAGAATAAAATGCTTATACCTTGAATAAAATGTTGTTGGTCTTAAAGGGGTTACTGGACTCAAACTTGTTCTGTTCCTGCAACCATTTGTCATGAAAAGGAGCACACAATCAGGTAAAACAACCCAGGCTGATGGCTCTTTAAATATGCTGTGCTATAACCACCACCAAATATTTGGACACCTGTACAGTAACTCAGTTTTCTGCATCTCTTAATAACCAAGAAGGTTTCTCATTCAGCAGATCAGAGCCAGCTCCAAATAATGGGAGAATTAGTTTTGATCTGAAATCTGAAAATAAAGGACAATCTAAAAATATATGGTCAATAGAATATATTTGAACTGAACTGCAGGTACATAATCTGTCAGAGCAGTATATCTTGGCAACTTCCCAGTAAAACTGCAGATGACAACACATTCTATCATGCTAACATAGATGCCCTTTTATACTTAGGTACTGGAAAAAATATTGGCATTTTAATCAGGGGAGGAATGCAAATAGTAAAAGTAGAACACATTCTATGGGCTCTAGTAGTCATTTTTCTGTAATCCAACTTGTTCAAATGACATTTTATCAAATTGTTCCGTTCCTGTCTGAATGCACTGTTCATATTCTGTAATCCACCTTGAGTCTCAGTGAGAAGGGTGGACTATAAAGTAAATGAATAAATACATTCATATTCTTCATAGTGGCAAAATAATCTTATTTACATTGACTGGGGGGAGAGATAAAGCTGAAGTCCTTATTACAGGCTTGTTAAATTCCATATCCCCCCATGGTACAATAAGATGCCTACAAAACCCATTTTAACACAGCCTCTGCTTGGTTTCTATTCCCACAATTCCCTTGAACATTATTCCCACCAGCACCTACATTTTGATATTACCATCCGTTTCCTCCTCATTGCTTTGTCTCCACTTTAGGCTTTTTCTCTATTTATTTTTTATTGTTATTTTCCAAGCACAAGAAACAGTTACAGATTTCATAAATTGGAAGGAAATCATTACATTATCACTTTTTCTTTGATTATTACAGACAGCCCAAATCCATTGTTTTGGCAAGTCACAATCATCTAAACATTGATATTTCTTTTACTATGGGTTTCGAAAGATTATTACTCTATCTGCCATTCTTCTTGAGGTTTTTCTCCCTCCATAGCTTTAAACAATATAAGCTTTTGAGAGCCAGTTTGGTGTAGTGGTTAAGTGCGTGGACTGTAATCTGGGAGAACTGGGTTTGATTCCCTACTTCTCCACTTGCACCTGCTGTATGACCTTGGGTAAGCCATAGTTCTAGCACAGCTGTTCTTGAAAAAGAGCAGTTGCTGTCAGAGCCCTCTCAGTCCCACCAACCTCACAGGGTGTCTGTTGTGGGGAGGAGAAGGGAAAGGAGTTTGTAAGATGCTCTGAGACTCCTTTGGGTAGTGAAGGGTGTGGTGTAAATCCAATCTCCTCTCCTCTTCCTCTATTTCAGTGGCCAAAAGGGACACTTTCTACTTTTCACCATCGGAAAAGCTGGTAGGATCCAACCTATAGTAAGTCCTGTTTACTTTTTTCTAAGAAAAGAAATCACCCTTAAAACTCTAGGTGGCAGCAGACATGACATAGTGTGATTACAGCTGGCAGAGGCACAATGAAATATGGGTTACAGGGCTTTGCATGCAGAGGAGCGTAAACAAGCACACAAACTTTGTCCAACGTGCATTTGAACAGGATGGCTCTACTCCCCATGCACTTCTATTTACCACAACATAGGCACAAGATATCACTCCTGATTGTGCAGATGTGTCAGCTAGCTGCCATGTTTTGCTTCTTCCCTTCTCTGATCCTGGCTTGCTCGCTGCTCTGCTGCTTGCCGTAAACAGCGATAGGGAGACTGTGAGAACCAGTGCTGCCAGACTCCATTATCTGTCTGGCCTTGTGAAGGGGGGAGGGTTTGTGTTCCACCACTGGTGTGAATCTTTCGGCTCTCATGAGGCACTGAGACTCTCCCACTTATTATGTAACCTCCCGTCAGGAGATTTCTCCTGTGCACACTCAAATTTTATTTGCTTAGCCATTTGCCTCATCCTGCTATATGTAGGGATGTTTCCGCCCCTTGGTTATTCCTAACAATAATCCTGTGGTTATGGTACCAGTTTTGTACTCTAATAAAGCATAACACTTCCTTGGAAATGTGTGAGATTTACTGGCTGTTGAACCTGACCCCCTCAAAAACACATCAACCACCCCCCATAGCTGACAGGGGACCATGTAGCCAGTGCACACAGTTTGTGAGCGTGAAAGTTCTATGCTTATGTTGTGGTAAGGAAGCAGGGACAATGTATTTCATCCCACTTCTCTTTCCTGTACATTGACCACTTGGATGCTGGGCTAAAAATTCCTTAACTTCTATTCTGGAAATAAGCAAAAATGCATTTGTATTTTATTTCAATTATTGATCTAATGAGCCATCAAAAACGGCCAACCATAATTTGGTACGCAAGTTTTGTTATATTTAAAATACATAAGAAATAACAGTGAATAATGAACATCCTTAATAATACATAGAAAATGCAAGTCAATGATCATGAGATTTGCCAATTACTTCTTTAATTCACTTACATAAAAAACAGAATTACAAGTTTAAAACAAAAACAAGTTGATTTCCATTATACTGTAGTTTGAAAGCATTATGGTATAGCAGACATCCACAAGCACGGAACCATTTTTTGTGTGCAAAGCGGCTTCTACACATTAAATATGCAGACAAAAACTATTTCACAAAACCCAATATACAGCAGTGTTATGAAAAGCAGTTTTTAGCAATCAGCCACATACTGTCCATATTCTGTTGCACTCCACCATGACCAACAAACAGAACCCAGGAGGTGGTTATGAAGATGAACTGGTGGTATTGTGCAGACTGAAGCAGGCAGAGCGCATGGGGGGGGGGGTATTGGGCAAAATCTACCTGATATTCCAGACACTAGCTGTGATTAACAGGGATCTCATGGATGGTACAGTGTGTCTCCATGCACAGAGAGAACATGATGTACTGCTTCCTCAAGATGCTCTTGCAACATACAAACCATTCACTAGGGCTGTTAAGAAAAATTATCAATTCGTGTTTACACAATTTTTTCATGAATGCCAACAATCCTTTTCTTTTCCTCTTTTTAGGAATTTGGAGTCAATTTCAAACCAGTTCCATTTTGATCAAAGATAAATTTGAAGAGAGGAGGGGCGGGAAGGGAAGGGCTGCAAAATTTCAGGATTTTCCTCTGTAGAGGCTTAGAGGCAGGCAATGTCTTCCCAAATCTTCCCACCATTCTGCTAGAGCACCATCCTGTGGTATATAGCATAAAACAACTACCAGAGCTGAAGTTACAAAAACAGTACACTGATTTCTCTTCAAAGAGAAACAAAAGAAAAATCAGAAGAGAATAAGACGGATCAATGGCTATATCTAAAAAGTAAGTTTTAGATAAAAGAAATCCCCCTCCCTATAACAACACTATACTTCACTTATCCTGCCTAGTACAATGACGAATATTTGGCCAGTATGGCATAAGATAAACATCCTCTGCCCAACATTTAACCTTTAGTGGAAAATGTTAGAGGATGTTATAAATCTCCTTTATTATCTGTGTTCCTTTATATGAACAAAGAAAAAGTTATAGTGCTATGGTTCATTCCTGATTAGCATAATTAGGTCATTGTAAACTTTCTGAGGTGCATCAAGACCCCAAAGAAAATCAAAATGAGTCCAGTTAGGTATTTTACATTCATATACTACATCATGGAGTCGATACATTAATTGTTTGATGTTATCAGGATCAGAAAACCAGTCATTTTCACCATACCATATGGCTGTTTTTACTCTCATACATTCTAGGTCATATGTAGGAGGTTCAGACTAGAAAAAAATATGGAGATATTTTGTAAGTTAAACCAAGCAAATTGTAAAAACAGACACTCAAAAATCAGGAAAAATAAATTAATGGCTTAGTTTCTTTCATGAACTCCCATGGACATAAAGTTATATCCTCAATGTAGCTTTAATTTCTTTTAAAATCAGAAGGGGGAAATGAACTTTTAGGGTCAAATAAAATGTTTTAATTTTTCTCACATGTTCATGGGAACATTTATTAAACTGTGCCTAAAACTGGAAAAAATTGAATGTTAGAACTCAGTTCAGCAATCAGATATTACACTGTAATGGAATTTCTGTCAGTTATCCACTTTTGCATTTTACTGAATAGTTTATTGCACATGTATACAGATGATAATTTTATGGTGCTATTTATAATCCATTCTGAAATAAGGTGAATATATTTGAGATTTTTTCCAAATAATTAAGTACACAGTATAGACATGATAAAATATACATGTGCACTTCATACAGTCCAAATTTATTCACACATATTTATTGAATAACAATCTCATATTTGCAAAATCAGTAAATTATTTATATAAGGTAATCCTTGACCTAAATAGATAATAATTTACTGATGAAATTACTTATAATACATACCTTTTAAGTAATCAAAAACAAAGAACACTTTGATATATATATATTATTATTATTATCATTACTATTATTATTATTATTATTATTTTGTACTACAGTATTATTTTGTACTACAGTGAGAAGCTTAGTAACTGTAAAATGTATGGCCAATATGGCCTCAGCTATTGCCACCAACTGAATGATAGTGGATAGGAGCCCCACTTAGCCTCAGCACAGTTTACTTCTCACTTCGATATCTGAACAAAAACTCTATCATAGACACATCCCTGTGACATTGGCTTGGCCTGGGTAATTTTGGGGGTAAGTCCCCCCCCAGCTGGCCAGCTGATCAGTGGCAGAGCAGTGGGGTCTAGCCACTCCCGGTGGTGGGGGACCCCTGGGGGTTCTGGCAACCCTAATACATACTTTGACTGTGTTGTATGAAGAACACTATAATCCAGCTGTATTGTACCATTGTAAAATATAATTTTAAATATTTTTTATGGAGGAAGGGGGCAGGGGCCCATTAAGGTAAATGTGCCTAGGGCCCATGAAATTCTTAATGCTGCCCTGGCTGTAGGGCCCAGGTGAGCCTAGCTATGGGGAAGGAAGGGTCAGCAGCTGTGATGTGACTCCCCAGAGACTTTAAGTCATGCCTTTCTTCCTTTTTTATTTTTATTTTAAATTAAATGGCCGTGGGGGGGGGGGTTCATTTTTAATTTCAGGGCTGATTTTCAGTTGCCAAAATTCCAGAACCCCCAAAAAACTGTGCCTGAAAATAATTCAAAATATTATTCCAAAATTAATTCCCAAAACACCCCTTCCAGTTCTGACATAACAAAAAGCATGTCCTGTAGAAAACCTGAAAATGAAATTAGAATGGAAATTTTTGCAGTGAATACCACTAATGTACAGGCACTCTGTGTATACAGTGCCACACTTGTTGAACACTGGATTCAGGCATCATTTTTAAACATTGCAGATGTTCTCACCTGATTGTATCTATCCTGGTTTTCACTTCCATAATCAAATTTTCTCAGTGTTCCAGTTTTGTATACCTAGAAATGAAGGCAAGAGGATGAATTCTAAACAACAGAAATATTATGACTGTTTTATTATTTTTCTTTCACAAATAGAAACTATAGAGCCAGTTTGGTGTAATGGTTAAGTGCGCGGACTCTAATCTGGGAGAACCGGGTTTGATTCCCCACTCCTCCACTTGCACCTGCTGGATGACCTTGGGCAAGCCATAGTTCTGATACGAGCTGTCCTTGAAAAAGAGCAGTTTCTGTCACAGCTCTCTCAGCCCCACCTACCTCACAGGGTGTCTGTTGTGGGGAGGGGAGGGGAAAGGAGTTTGTAAGCCGCTCTGAGACTCCTTTGGGTAGTGAAGGGCGGGGTATTAATCCAATCTCTCCTCCTTCTTCTGCAGTGGGTTTTATTAAATCCTCAGGGGATTTGGCCTAAAACATTTGATCAGTCAGCTAAGGTCAATGGGTAAATGTGATACTATGCATGTTTACTTGGAAGAAAGTCCCACTGAGATCAATGGACTTTATTTCCAATTAAGAGTGTTCAGAATTGCAATATAAGAATAAGAAACCAGAGCATGACACAGAATAGCCCTGTTGACAAGCTACAGTGAAAACATGTACAATCTGTGTACAATGTACATTTCATTTCTCTTTATATGTGCACTGAGCAATTCTCATGTTACATTCAATACATGTACAGCTGAATACAACCCCCCCCACACAATTTCATTTATAAAGTGAACTCATGTTGGCCCTTTCTTACAAACAGGTATTCACTGTAACACGAGGCTGTTATCTTTGAGGGTTTTTTAATCATTACAATTCCTTTTAGAACTAAGTTTCAACTAAGGCCCCGGTCACACGGGCCAGATAACGCGGGGAGGAGGCGTGGCTATTAGCCCCATCACAATTTGAGCTGCTGCAACGCAATCAGACGCGACGGTGACAAACTGCGTTGTTTTTGTCGGCGTGTGGTTCTTGCAGCACTTCAACGGGGCAAAAGGAGCACACTGGGGCGATCAGATGGAGACAGTCCGTCTGTGGCCTGTGGCAAACCGTTTGCTAGTCGCTTGTGGGTGGTACTTTTTAACTCTGGATCTTCAGCGATAAGATACGGGCTGGGGACGGGCGGGCGACGCTTCCCAGATGTTTCCATGTGATCGCACCTGTTTAATCCGCCCGGCAGTCGTGCCTCTCCTGAGGCAAATTCTCAGTGTGACCGGGACCTAAATTGCCTTATTAATACAAGAGCAAAACAGGGCTGCCAGAGATAAAATAAGAGTTGCAGAGGAACCAGACATGCCGAAGAATAGTCCTGAGTAGATTAACAGTGCAATCATAAGCAGAATCACACCCTTCTAAGCCCATGGGTCTCAGTGGACTTGAAGGGTGTAACTTTGTTTAGAACTGCCCTATATAAAGGAAGGACTGAGCATGTGCTAGGAGACATAGTTGAAAGCAGCTGAGCATCATTTAAGCAAAAGGGAAAGAAAAAGAATGGGAAGAGGAAATGGTTTGCTCAAGAATCTAAAAGCTTATAACATCCTCAAAGAGGAGTGTTATGGGAAGGGATTTACCAATTATTTACGAATCATTTGTTTGACCCTTGTGGGGCTCCAGTGTTTTTTTTTTAAGGTTCATTTTGGATAGCATATAAGCACGCATAGCATCAGGCTCTTGCAGTATAATCCTAAACAGAGTTGCACCCTTTAATTCAATGAACTTAGAAGGGTGCAACTCTGTTTAGGATTCCACGGCAAGTCTCAATTCCTCTGCTTCAAAATTGAAAGAGTATTATTTACCCACATGAACGTTTTTGTGAGATAACTAAGAGTAGGCTTCCTACCACATTTCACCAATGGTGGAATTTAGAGAAAGCCCTGCAAATCCCAACTGCACCCTCAAGTCTAAGGGATTTTATGAGTGCCAAAAAGGAGTTCCGAAAAGTCTAGTGGAATTCCCCGGGGTACTGCAAGGTGCCCTTAAATTGCTACTGTGTTTTCTTAGGTAAATAAACAAAAAATGAGATGCCTGCTTGGTCCTTACATCCAAGAAATGGCAAGGAAAGCAAAACATTAAATGTCTAGCCACGTGCACTGTCTGAGAGCAAGAGTGAATTGCCTCAGAAAAATTTTAAACTGACCATTCTGAGCCATCAGATTATACTTTACTCACCTGCACAATCACACAGCATCTAATTCAAACTGGACTGCTACCTGTGTAAAGCGGCTACATGTGCTTAATTACCATGCCAGCATAAAATCTGCCTAGCCTATGGGCCTTTGGCATGTTTATTTAGCAAGTCCAATGTCTTTGTTTCTTTCATTCATTCATTCATTCACCAGCTTTGTCCTTTCTAGAACTCAAGGCAGCTTGCAATAAAACATTCTTAAAATAACTAAAAAACACACTTTGTTGTTGTTCAGTCGCACAGTCGAGTCCGACTCTTCGCGACCCCATGGACCAGCTCCTGCCAGGCCCTCCTGTCTTCAAACCAATAAAATGTCAACACTAAAAACTCCAATTAGGACTGCCGGTAAAAAACTTAATCAAATGCAGTCCTAAATAAAATTGTCTTTAGCTGCCTTCTGGAGATTGACAATGAGAGGACCAGGCACACCTCCATGGGGAGGTTGTTACATAATTGTAGGGCTGCCACTGAAAAGGCTCTTTCTCACATGCCCACCACATGAACCTGCTTGATTGGTGGGACAATCAGGCAGGCCTCTCCCTGTAATCCTTCTTCTTCTTACTGTTTTCACAACTAAAGTCATAAATGGCAAGCTTTGCAATCTTATTTCCCTGGGCAGGAGCATGTGGGAGAAGACAGTCCTTCAGGTACCCCAGTCCCAAGCCATGTAGATCAAAACCAACACCTTGAATTGGGCTCAGGAGCAGACTGGTAGCCTGTGTAATTGCTGTAGTATCAAGGACATATGCTTCTGTTAGGGGCCCTGACCAGCAGCCTAGCTGTAGCATTCTGCACTAGCTGCAGCTTCTGAACAGAAGCACCCCAGTTTAAACTAGACTTAGCACAATGCAGCAAATGCAATGTTCCCCAAGTGCCTTTGCCTCACCAGTCTCACATTTAAATCTTAATGTAATTTTGAATGGTCTGAACACACAACATGGACATGTTGGGAAAAGAATATGGATTTAATCAATGCTTCACTGCAACCAACTTAATCATAGTTAGTCAATCACTCTACCTGTCCCCAGTGGAGTAGATTTTGAACAGATGTTGAATCTGGAAAATGTGATTTGTATACATCAAGTCGGCTCTGTAAGAGAAATGTCATGAGTTTAATTTTTAAAGGAGGGGGAAAGTTGCATCCTAGACACATTTCGTCTTTTGCTATCATTGTTTACCAGGGGCGGGGAAAACAATGTCTTAATAATCATAGCCATCTCTGTACATGAATCAACATATTCAAACCAGTACTTTAACCTCTCTCTCTCTCTCTCTCTCTCTCTCTCTCTCTCTCCATGAAATAAGTAATACTAGTTCCAACTATTTCAGATATACAATATTTGTGTGTGTGTTATGTGCCATCAATTCTATTCCAATTTAGGGCAATCCTATAAATTAACAATCACCAAAAAGTATCCAATACACCTTTCTGTTCATACATACCATGTTCAGATGGTCCTCTTTGGCACCTCCAGTAACTGAAAGGTTCCAAGAACACAACTTCTTCCAGAATTTAGAGCTGCACATAGATCTGGTGATGTTTCTCTTAGTCTCACTTCTGAGCAAGAAATCCTTCTTGCCCAAAAGCATCTGCAAATATATCAGTGAAACCGTTACAACCATGACAGTAAGCTGCATATATCCCTTTATCATTATTATCATCATTGAGTGGGGGGGAAAGAACCATATACCTTGATTACTGCATCAGGCAGGGAAAGGAGCATGGCATATTGGCCTGGAGCATTCTGAAGGGTGTTTAATGGAGCCAAAGCATAAAACATTTTAATCTTGCAACCCAGGTCAGGCATAGATGAAAATGCAATGAATCCTGAGAAGGAAACACACAGAGAGAAAATATATTACAGCATTCATACTTCTCCAGGATTTCAACTGCAAAACCAGAGAACCTGCTCAAGGTAACTTACAAAGTAAAACATGATGAAAACATGCAGTATCAAATTGCGATTCGATTTATTACAATCAAAGATCAGCAAATCCTTTAAATTGTTACATGTAATTAACAACGAAAATGCAACCAGATTGACACAAATATTTTTTTAGTAAATAAAACAAAGTGAAATTTAAAATTCCTAAGAAGAAATATTCTTCTGTCTGATTAAAATAGCCATAGCACAAAATCTTGTCACCTTAGCGGTAATTTCATTACAGGTGTCAGCTAAAAGAAGAATAGAGTAAAACTGATTAGGCAACAAAAACATGCAGCATCAGATTGCTATACATTAATAAATCATTATTAAAAACTCAGCATAGAGCAATTCAAAGTAATTTCCAACTCTTATTTAATATAGCAAAGAATTTTTATGCTAAAGTCTTGTCTCCAGTTCATAAGGGCATTTCTTCTGCGATTTTAGTTGAGTATTTGGCCTGCTTTAACCAACTGCATATTATAGCCACAAACTGGCTACTGTTCAGATTAGAAAATCTTCACAACAGGGACAGCCCTGGCTACAGTTCAGGGCTCTGCAATTATGTTGTCAGATCTGGGAAGTTTATGAGGGTTGGCCCAGGTTAGTATTTGGATGGGAGACTGCCCAGGAAGTCCAGAGTTGCTACTCAGAGGTTGGCAATGGCAAACCACCTCTGTTCGTCTCTTGCCTTGATATGGGATTGCCATGTCAGTTGTGACTTGTTGGCACTTTCCACCACCAAAAATAGGGGACTCCTGGTTTGCTGGAAAACATGGTTTCTTTTTTTTTTAATTGGGATAAAAAATAACAAAACAAAGCTGATGTCAGTACTTGCATAGATGGGGGACAGTCATAGGCATCATAGGAGGAGAAGCTTAAGGGATGAAGGAAAGTCAGAGCCAATGGGAGGGAGCAGGGTATGGCAAAGAGGAGGTGGAGCCAGCAAAGCCAAAGACAGACCCAGATGGGGGAGTAGCAAGAAATGGGCAGTGGGAGAACAATGAGATTTTCTCTCCCCACACAATTCTTCACCGGTCCCCCTCTTTTTACTTTTGAATATTGAACAATGATACACAACAAAAAGCCAGCACAGAGAGTTCGACTAGGATTTGGAATATCCAGGTTTGAATCCCCACTCTTTTGGGGAAGTTTGCTGGGTGACCTTCTGCCAACCTACCTCTTGGGTTGTTGTGAGGGTAAAATGGAAGATGGGAAGAGGGTTCTGTTAGCTGCTTTTGGCTCTCCAGTGTTGGAGAAAACAGGATATAAATAAATAAACTCCTAAATCAGAAAGGATTTATCTTTTATTCTAACCCAAAAAGAAAAACTTGAATGACATGAGACTTTCCATTGCAATGTCTCCAAAATAAGTAGGAATGCATTATACCTACATCCATATATTGTTTTGTGTAGTAATGATGATGATGATGATGATCAGGGCTTTTTTTGTCGAAAAAGCCCAGCGGGAACTCATTAGCATAATAGGCCACACCCAACAGCAGAAACTCATTAGCATATTAGGCCACAGCCATGACAGCACAGCTCATTGGCATATTAGGCCACACCCCCATGTTACCAGAAGTGTGCTCATCCAGCCACACCCACCTTTTGCTTCTTATTCTGTTTACCTTGTTTGTTGTCAAAACCCAGGGCTTTTTTGTAGCAGGAACTCCCTTGCATGTTAGGCCACACACCCCTAATGTAGCCAATCCTAATGAGTTTCTGCCGTTAGGTGTGGCCTATTATGCTAATGCGTTCCTGCTGGGCGTGGCCAACTTGGAAGCCAGCCGGAACTCCGTTCCTGTGCGTTCCTGCCCAAAAATAGCCCTGATTGATGATAACAACAATAACAATAATTTAAACATACCTTCAGTGGCACCCTGAGAAAATCCAACAAAATGTATTTGGGACTTTCCAGTTTTCTCCAGGATAAAGTTGATTATCGCTGGGAGGTCATATTTGGCCATTTCATCAAAACTGCAGTACAAATGAAAATGTACAGTAACTAACAGGGTAGCACACTCACTTTATTGTCTTGTAACCAGACAACCATTTTAACTAAACTCAGTCTGAATTCAAAGTAGATGTATTTGCACTGGGATTTTATTATCTAGCTCACAGGTTTCTTTTGAGGATGGATGACTGACACAAAGATTGCAACACTCATGGTACTTGTGATGAGGGATGCACAAATATATACATGTTCAGTTATTGGGGGGGGGGTCTCCTGTGATCCTTCCCTGAGGATTTTTCCCCTGAATTTTTTTTTTGAATTTGGATTATTGTTTATGATTTTGGCATCTATTATTTAAGCTGATATATTTAAGCCTTCTGTTTTTTATGCCATTAAAATGTGGTTCTCTATATTAATATCTCCTTGATATCCCCATTTGCATCTTCCCAGAGTTGTTAATAGGTTGGCATTATTTTTAGGCAGTCCTCCCATTGGCAAACTAGAATTCCTATGTCATTACTATCTCCTTCACTCTCAGTGTCATGGATATTATGTCTATCACACAGAAAACACTTTGCTTTGTGAATCTGTTGCTTATAGTTATGAAAATTTCCAGATTACATAGAAGTAAATATGATAGCATGATGGTCTACATATAAAACACTGTTTTCCTAATGCAGTAAAATCAGAGAAGTGAAGTGAATAAACTCTGCTCTAGAATAGAATGTTGAGCTTGAGTGACAGGTTGCTCCTTCTGTTTGATTGGCTAGCGCCAGCTGAGGAAAACTATATAGTCAGTCAGTCATTGAGGAGTTCAGTGGCAGTTACTGTTCAGTAAAGTAAAAGTTCAGCTACAGGAGTGGCTACCTGAAAAGTCTGACTAAAAGTCTGTCAGACAGGTTCACCTTTTCAATAAAGGGAGAGACTCCATGCCTTAACTGTGTTAAACATAACCTGAGGAAGAATTCCATCTAAGAATTCAGAGTCTAGTGTCAGCTTAAGCTGAAGTACATTTTCACACAGATGCCAAGAACTGGGGTTTGAGATTTTGGGAAAGAGGTAAAAAGGGACTGGGTAGCAGGTTGAAGCTCCCAATCAGGCCAAAAGGAAAATGATTATATTTTCAGGGAAGAAATAGAAGTCCTGCCCAGTTATACAGGGAATTGGCACAGAAGCAGTCCCTGGTCTGTTGTGAAAGGAAACAGTTATAGACTACTCAGGGGAAAGAAGACACATTGTGATTTCAGAAAATGAGAAAGAGTCTGATGCACTAAAACAGTGATTTTTCCAGAAAACCTGAACAGTTATTAGGAAACTATATGCAGAAACATTGTAACTGAAACTAAAATACTCAGCCAACCATCACCCACTGATAAACACCACTTTGTCTGTCAACTGAAACGTATTCTGTTTTCCCTATAACATTTCTCTGCCTATTAAATAAAATCTTTATTATTGTTCAGTGTTACACAGTCTCCAGTGCCATTTCAAGGGATCTAACAAGAGGGCTCCTGTTTTCTCCTGACAAGTTCCTGGGCTGGGCAGAAGCCAAATTAGATTCTGTCACAGGGAGGGACATTATAAAACCGCATGCTACTGGGGAATAGCTCAGTACCTGAAGGGAACTAAGACTTTTGGCAGGAAAAATCTGCCTCAGAGTGGGTCCATCACAGAAAGCTTTTGAGTTTGTTGTAATAAGGTTAAGTACCCACAAACATGCACCTTCTTTTCCTCTCAGTTGAGTGGAGTTACTTTCACTAAGCTCCCATGGACACTTAATAGAACCTTCTGGTGGCCTCTCTGTATAGTAACTATCCACTGGGAAACATCAGACAAAGGAATAGCCAACAATTGCAGCACTGCTGTTGCAGACCATTATGGAATACGTAGGGTGAACCCCTAAGGGAACCATTCCAGCACATCATAAATAAACAAACAAAAAGGACAGTAAAAGGAAAGTGGGAAAGAGACAATATCAGTTTTAATATCCTTCCCAAAATAGTGGTTAAGAATCGATCCTTTGATGTAAAAGAACATATTGGAAGCAACATGGTTTGAATCAAACCACAGAACCTGAGCATTTCTTAAGTACTTCTGCTTTTTATCTAGTAGCACCAGTACAGGCATTGAATACTGCATTTGCATTATCCTCTAGATCATACACTATATAAGCTTCGGACATGGAATGACGGTTTGATTGCACAGGAGACAAGGGGGAAACCTTAAAAAGAACAAATTTGGACTGCATCCCAGAATGCCAAATAGTGGGATTTGAAGGTGTCCTACATGAGTGGAAGTCTGCAGTTCATAACTGTAGACTGTGTTTTATTTAAAATGGTGTTATTCTGCCTTATCTCCTTAGACTCAAAGGCAGTGAACAATGCAGCAACCAGGTTGCAAGGACAAAAATAAGAGTCCAACTAATAAAATTTAAAGAGATTAAAATAGACAAAACACCAATTTCAAAACATTTCAGATCAAAATCATGCAAGAATTAAAATGCACACTCACGGCTAAATCTGCTGGGGGAAAATTGCCCTCCAAAAATTCTCTGGAATTTGCCTGCCTTATGTGCCTTCCTGAATGTAGCAAGTGAAGGTGTCTTCCTCACATATTCTGGAAAGCCATTCCAAAGGACTGGGCCCACCACAGAAAAGGCCTGTGACTTCACTGTGGCTATATGGGCAGTATTACTAAGGGAAAGAACCCTAAGGAAGAGGCTTTCTGAAGAGGATTATCAGTAGAGTAACAAAGAAGGCACACTATGCAGAGCTCATATGAACTGAATTACAAAATTCTCTCCTACAATTCTTGAGCTTCGATAAGTTATATAGTTTGATAATTCACATCTTCAAATATGCAAATACAGAATTTTGAAGTTAAACAAATCAAATTTTGAAGGGATGATCCATAAAGTACGAATTAGGAAGAAGCATAATATGAAAAAATAAATTGTTTGGTTTAAACTGTTTGTATGCATTTACATGTATAGTACCTGTAAGCAGAATATTGTTCTTGGTCAATAGTCAAGTTTTGATGTTTTCGTGACCAGGAGGTGCCTCTGTTGTTCCCTATCCAAACGTCACAGCCAGCATCGGCCAGCATGAATCCAAGGCTATTGTTTGGCATATTTGCAACCCAGCTGCTGCCCTCTAAAGCAAAACCATGCTGCAAAAGCACAACTGGCTTTTCAGCTGGGGGAAAAAGGGAAAACAGGTTATTGTTTCACAACAAGAACTGCACAGGACCAGAAGTGCAGTCCCCTTTAAGCTACCATCCTGTGTGCAATAATACAGAGTATATCTGAAGTGCAGTTGGTTGGTAGACCAGAGGGGACAATAGAATGCTCACTTGCTGTATAAGGTTATGTTCAAAACAGCTGAATGAAGAAGTTGTTCTGTTACTGAGGCCTTGTGGTGCAGACTTCTTTGTGAGAGACCAGAGATGTAACACTGTGGAAAACTGTGTATCAGGCTAAGAAATCTGCTAACTTCAGAAACTTGTACTATGCCCAAGTGCCCTCCCCCTTTATTATCTGTTCTAAGCATTTTCTCTTATTAGAATACTATCATGATGAAGCTCAGACTAATGAGCTTGTGACCTCAAGTTAATCACATGTTCTCTGCCCAATGTACCTCACAGGTTTGTTGCAAGGATAATGAGGAAGAGAGAGCCATGTATGTCCTTTTGAGCTCCTTAGAAGAAAGGTAGGATAGGCTGTATTACATACAAGTACAAATCAGTTGGGGCATTTCCTTCTTATCTATGACATTATTAATTTGGTGTTTAAACTGTGGTGTTGGGTTATCAAAAATAGCTGCGCTTGTGAGTTTAGTGAACCTCTCATTTCTTGCACATTATGTTAAATACTATTAATTAACTTAAACTGTGATTGTAAAAAACATTGCTCGAATTCTATATTACTTTTTATGAACTATTACTCGCACAAGTTTACTCACTCTGTGCTCTATATTTGCCATGGTAGTCGGATGCTCATTTTCATACCTGCTCATGTCACAGCACAGAATTTGCTCTATTGAGCTAACCCCTAGTCAAGACGCATTCAGGTTTTTGTTTCCTTGCTTTTAGATGTTTATGTTGTTTTTACCTTATCAATACCATACGGTGTTTTCAGCCAAACTTGCTGTTTCCCTCCTGCATTGAGTATTAGGTTGGGGAGGCATATATGCAGCCACAGTGAGGGAGAAGGTAAGAGAGTAAGCCAACTTTGCATCCACACCCTAAGGTATTACTGTTACTTAGAGGGTGAAGGTTTCTTCAGCTTAGTCTCCTGTATGTAATAAGAGTTGGGACAGACACCAACTTGGAACCTGACTAACTCACCTATCCAATGATAAGGGATTATTTGGAAACACTTCCTTCAGTGCAGTTAATCTGTGACTATAAGAATCCACAAGCACTTAAAAATTGCTTCTGGGTTCAGTAGGGAAGGGTTGCTCAACTATACAAAGGAATTAAGTAGGCAGGTAAGGATGGTGTAGTGTTTAGAGTGTTAGACTAGGATTTGAGAGACCCAGGTTTGAATCCCTATAAAGTCGTGGAAGCTTACTGGGTGACTTTGGACCAGTCATACACTCTCAGCCTAACTTATTTCATGGGGATCTTATGAAGATAAAATGAAGATGAGGACAATATTGTAAGCCACTTTGGCTCTGGTATATAACATGTGCATTGTTTTTTTAATACAATTTTACCAAGTTCTTCATTATTTTCAAAGCTGTGGCCATTTTATAAGAACATAAGAGACGCCAATGTTGGATCAGGCCAAAGGCCCATCCAGTCCAACACTTTGTCACACAGTGGTCAAAAATACCAGGTGCCATCAGGAGGTCCACCAGTGGGGCCCGGACATTAGAAGCCCTCCCACTGTTGTCCCCCCCCCAAGCACCAAGAAGACAGAGCATCACTTGCCCCAGAGTCCCTATCTATACCTTGTGGCTAATAGCCACTAATGGACCACTGCTCCATATGCTTATCTAATTCCCTTTTGAAGCCGTCCATGCTTATAGCTGCCACCACTTCTTGTGGCAGTGAATTCCATGTGTTTCAATCCATGTTAGTTCTGTCTTGTCTTCTTATGTACTGGATGTGTGCATAATGAATCCTTCTCTCCTGTGAAATCATCTTCTGAACATACTGTGGGACAAACAGCAGCATGGCAAGAATGCATGAGGAACATGGGCTGCAGAAAAGAGACTGATATGAAATTTCTAAGGGAATAATTCCTAAGGGAAACAACTACTGGTTTAATTAGGGAAGAGCAATTGTTTGCATCATGAATGCTCACTCCCTTCCTATACCACTATGGCCCTGGTCACACGAGGGGTTTTGGGCCGGGAGCGAGACAGAACGGGGGCGGAGCAAACGGGCGCGATCCCACGACAACATCAGGGAATCGTTGCCTGCCCGTCCCCGATCCGTCCCTCCCACCCCAAAACCCGCACTAAAAAAGAACCACCTACCTTGGTGGTTCATCAGATAGAGCACCTCAAGCTGGGCTGTGGGATCGCCGGCACGGTCCTTGCGCCAGCGCATCCCGGCCCCCGGCCGTACTGTGCATGCTCGAGCATGCGCAGTTCGGCAGCCTCCCCCTCCCATCCGACTCTTCCTCCCCGGCATCTGATCGTGCCGGGGAGCGACGTGCTGCGGCTAAGGGGATCTGTGGGATCCCGCCGCGGCGTCTCAACTTTGGTGTGTCTTTTAAAAGCCGCAATTTTCGCTGTGTTTTCCCTGCCATGTGGCAGGGGCCTATGTTTACTTTCTGCTAACTTGCATAGCCAACCTCTTGTAATTTCTATGCTCTTGAACCCATATGCAAAATATTGCAAAAGAAGAATTGGCAACACATGTTCTGGATTTCTGCATTTTCAGATTGTCTGGAACAGTGCAGAAAATCTGATATAGTAGGAAATCTGATATACTAGGACATCTAATATACTAGGAAACACTTTCTTCCTACTTTTCTTTTTACATTTCTTCTTCCTTTATTCTAATTTTCATCCTAATCCACATAATGGAAAAGAGAAGTCTAAAAAGTGTTAATTTTTGCAGAGTTGGAGAGCAAATTGGATCTAGGGGTCAAGAAGTGGGATTTTTCTCAATATATTTAGCCTGTTTCATAAGAGTGGCTATAAGTAATGTTATTGCATTTACAGTGCAATCCTAAACAGAGTGGCTCCCTTCAAAGGCCATTGAAATCAGTGGATTCACAAGGGTGTACCTCAGTTTTGGACGACACTGCTATGCATCAGTCCCTCCAGTCCACACAATTTCCTAGTCTTTCTGTTGTTTCCAAAGTCTAAATCCGTGTTATGCAAAACTCCTTCTTAAATGTGAAACAATGGGTCTAAATCCTTACAATGATGTAGGTGTGATGAAGTAGCAGGAGTATGCTCTTCACACGACAGATATTCTCTGATATGTAGTGTCAGGTTCATGGGTACCTCATTGAGCTCTATTCCTTCAAGCCCTCAATTAGAAGAAGAGTTGGTTTTTATACTCTGCTTTTCTCTGCCTGAAGGAGTCTCAAAGTGGCTTACAATTGCCTTGCCTTCCTCTCCCCACAACAGACACCCCGTGAAGTAGGTGGGGCCGAGAGAGAATTGTGACTGACCCAAGGTCACCCAGCTGGCTTCATGTGGAGGAGTGGGGAGCAAAACCCAGTTCTCCAGATTAGAGTCCACCACTCTTAACCACTGCACCACACTGGCTCCTTAACATAGAGACTGAAGAATCATGATAATTGTATTTACAGTCTCAAGAAAGTGCATGATGATCCTTATTGTACCAGCCAGTCCTTTTACTGAGGTAGAAGAGTTAAGGAGTAAAGCACAACTGGGTGGCTCTACACTGCCATCTGTACATGGTGTTCTCAGTACTGAATATTTAAGAACAGGCCCTGTGCAAATAGTATGACAGATGTTTCCTCAAGCTTATTCCATGTATCAATAAAGCTCCAGATCAAGCATATTTACTTACATGACCACTGTTGTCTTGTTCTGTCACCAGGAATTCTGTTTAAAGTGAGGATGTAACCATCATCTGTTATCACTTCATATTCTTCAGCTGGGTATCCTTTATGGCAGATAATCTCACTCTATTGAGTGACATAAGTAGTTGGGAAACATTACCTTTTTATACTGATCACAAAATGATGCCTAAATTACCTAGAGAAAGTTAGCCTCCTTTTCAATAAAGACCTAAAAACTGCCTCTGAAAATGTGTTTACAAAAGAAATTTGCTTTCCTAAAATAAAAACCAAACAAACCTGGGGTTTCAAATGTGACAGAAGAATTAACCATTTTCTAGTAACAGCAGAAGCATGTTACTTGCTGGCAACTGAATGTGTTGCTATGCAATATTCACCTTCTGATGCAGTTAAAGTTCTTCTATCCATAATGAAGTCACTGCCCATGGAATTTCTTGGGCTGATGTTTAAAAAATAAATGTCTCAGGGGAACTGTAATGAGTCATTAAAGGATCAGAAGAAGTTGGCAGAAGACAGGAGAAAGAAAATTGTTTAAAATGATAAGAGGGGGAAAATAGTTCAGTGAAGAAACATAAGAACATAAGAGACGCCAATGTTGGATCAGGCCAAAGGCCCATCCAGTCGAACACTCCGTGTCACATAGTGGCCAGAAATACCAGGTGCCATCAGGAGGTCCACCAGTGGGGCCCGGACATTAGAAGCCCTCCCACTGTTGTCCCCCCCCC